AAGAAACCGATGCATGCCTGTTCAGAGCAGAATAATCACAATATCCAAACAAGATACTATTTGCATTAGTGACAAAGATCGGTTATTCTGAATGGGAAATCCAATAAATCAGGCCACTGCAAAGGAAAAATTGGTATGACGAGATTAGGCCAATTGTTATTTAAAAGGAAAAAAAATTTAAAAAATATTTAAAAGGGAAACCTCAACCATCTTTCAAATTCAGGAATATGCCCTATGTTTCTATGTTTATATTTCTGTTGCAAAGATTTGCATGATGTTTAGAAGGTAAAATTGTTCTTCAACGTAAATTCTGTATAAAACCTAGAACGATGAAGGGCAGTGAGTTTTATTTACCTGATTAGAACAAATACGCATTGAAGAACACCTGCAATTCCTGTCCAAGCCGAAGGCCCAGATTCCACAAGGGCATCTTGTATCAATAGGCCAACTGAAGCAGCCAACGAGACAAACGACACAACATATGCAATGAAAAGCCAAAGTTTCAACCTGCACACTCAGAAACTATAAATAACTAAAGAAAAAACTTATACGGGAACTTGAAATTCGAAAGATTGAGGGTGTGTTTGTTTATAAATTTATCCAATTCATACTCAAAATCTAACTCAACTTTAACCCAACTCCACTATCTTCAGTATTATTAATATAATCAAATAATACCAACAATCATTCTTATACATCATATTAATTTTAATTCACTATTCATTCATCCACATAATTTTTAACCAACCATCACTTCACATAATCTCTCATACTTTTACATCAAATCGACTTTACTTATTTTATTTTATATATTATTTTAATATAACTTCAAAATTCCACTACAAACTAATCATACCATCTTTTTTAAATTTAACTCTAGTAACCAAAAAAACTCATTTTTAGCGGATATATTTGTATAGGCCTAACTGATTAAGGTAACAACAATTGGAGAAAAATGCCCAACTACATACATATACAACAACAACAACAACATACCCAGTATATTCCCAACAGGTTGGGGTCTGGGGGGTCAGTTGTACGCAGACCTTACCCTTGTAATTATACAAGGAGGTTGTTTCCGTAGCGACCCAAGGTGCATTGCGCCGTTTGATATATTTTTTTTTTCTAGAAACTTCACTAATAGAAGAAGCACTAGAATTTAATTGAGCAATTTTGATCTAGTCCATTATTAGCACTATGCCAGGAGAATTGTCAACAATGACTCTTCCAACTCCATTTGCAAAACTACATACATATACATCGACACATTTTCACATTCTAAGAACTGCAAATTCTTTGACACACAAAGACCTCAAGCTTTTCGTTCATGCATTTACTTGAAAATTTCCAGCATTACCACATTATCAACCGAATGATGGCATACACACGACTCGAACAATATCTTAAATGAGGAAAAACACAAACGAAACGCACGTCATTCGCCAACACACAATATTAGATGACATGAACATGTTCTTGCTAACAAGTGGCTACCAATAAATACAATAGAATGATATGAAAGAATACAAGCTTGACAAACTTCATCAAGAAAAATACATTTCTCAACCAAATTTCAAGATATGTTAGCTCCTCAAGCTCAATGTTTCACATTGATCAAACTAGTGCCCAAGTGTTTCACATCTTTTTTAGTAAATCTACTGCTTTAGATCAAAATCACAAAAGCTCGAAAACAAAAAAACAAGATTATTTCGGATACTAACCTCCATTCACCTTCTTCATAGGGCGAGTAATCGATATCATCTTTCCTCACGCAATTGAACATCAAAGCAGCTAAAGACGCAAATATTCCTGCCAAAACAAATTTAAAAAAATAAAATCAAATTAGAGAACACAAAAGATCATCAAACAACAGAGAAAAAAAACCTAAACTTTGAGCAATCCCCATAGAAATACCAGGAAGATAGTGCACGAACGGTATTTTGACTGAGCTACAGACAACGGCGTCGACCCAAAACCACCAGCCGGTTCCGAAAACAGCGCCGGCGATGCCAGGCCCGAAGATTGCCAAAAGCTCCCCCAAATCCATTTCTAGTATAGAATCTTTCTTTTTCCACACTAATTTGAGACGATCCCAACGAAAATTCGATGAAATTCTGCTTTGATTGAGCAAGATCTTCAAATTTCTAGCGAAAGCAGATCGATTAAGCGGTGCCCTGATCAAAATTTTCTGATCACAACTTTTGCCTTAGGCCCTTTGCCCTCTCCAAGCCCGACAGCAACAGTGTGTTAAGTTCTCCAAAAGTGAAAGGATGAATAAATCTTATTTCTCGTTCATAATTTATTAATTGCTAATAATTCTTGATGGGTAAAACTTCACAATTTTAAGAGCAAAATATATTAATCTTATTTCTTTTTAGAGCTAAACTTAACAATTTTAATTTTTAAGTATCTATAAGGAAATGCAAAATCATATAATAACTTTTGTTTCATTTTAGTTTGTTGATTGATACTGTATAATGGTGATGCTTCTGATTCATTTAGTTTGATGTAATTGCTGATTGATATGTGTATAATTGTAACTCTTTTGATTCATTTAGTTTGATAATTGATACGTGTGTAATTGCTACATCATCCTAAATTTGTTGGTTCATCCAATGAATTTTTTTTCCCATCTATACAAACTAAAGATGTGGTTTGAGTTAGTTCATAGTATTTATTTATTCAAGTTTATATGTATCCTGATTTTTAAATATTAATTAATATCACTCAATAATTACCATTTTTTTATATTACATCAAATTTAATTATTATATTTTTCAATATTTCTTTACAATTTAAAAATATTGGAGAAAAAATGTAATTATTATATTTTTCAATATTTCTTTACAATTTAAAAATATTGGGGAAAAAATGACAACCTACCACCTCAATGAGCATAAACCAAACATGCCTGCAATAC